CCCCAAAACCCCAAAACCCCAAAACCCCAAAACCCCAAAACCCCGTATTTTCTCTCTAAAATTGAACTATGGCAAATCAAAATTCGTGAGGGTTGCGATCGAAAGCTCTACACTTCGCAAAATGAAAGACCCTTGTAGCTTTAATGTCAAATTGGTTAATATAGATAGTTGAACCTTGTTCTATTCCAAAGTTATAGCATATTAGGCGTTGTGGAAAGTCATGAACTGTCCCTTGATCTTCTTTTCGTCAATGATTCCTCTCTTCATTCCCTTATCCTTGAATAGAGTGATGGCTGGTCTCTTTCCTTTACCAATGACCATCATGTTTCCGACTCTGGTAGCGAATTTTGCACCCTTGGCATCGGCCAAGTGGACAATATTGAATGAGGCATCATGTTTCTCGATACGATGGATAGTTCCGACTCTTCCCTTGTTAGATCCACCAACCACAATAGCTACGTTTCCTTGTTCGTATGGATAGTGGTCAAGAACTTCGTTACTCTCAAGGCTGAGCTTGATAGTATCGTTGATCTTGATGTCTGGATGTTGGTATCTCAAAGTTCTACCGTCGTTAGTTACACAGTAAGGAACTCTATTTTTACCAATAGCTTTCTTAACAATTTTACAGAGCTTGAAGGTGGCTTCCTTAGCATCAATTTTATGAGGTTGGAATCTTCCCTTGACATCAATGAGGATTCTGAAGAACTCTCCGGTCTTCTCGATAGTGATGACGTCCATGACACCGCATGGGAATTTAGTGTCTCTTCTGATTTTATTATCAATCTTGATGTTACCAGATTTGTCAAGGACAACTTTCTTGACTTCGACTCCGCTCATGCAATACCTGAGTCTATTTCTAAGAATAATAGACAATGGAATGCAGTCTCTTGCCTTGTGGGGACCTGGGCTTGGCTTTGGAGCGTAGATTCCGCTCATCTTGTCAAGCATCCAGTGAGATGGTGCATTGACTCTCTTTAAATGTTTCTTTGGACCTCTTCCCATATTGGATTTAGATAAGGTTTATTAAATAATAATATCGTGTTATTATAAATAATTTTATGTTGGGGTTTTGGGGTTTTGGGGTTTTGGGGTTTTGGGGTTTTGGGGTTTTGGGGTTTTGGGG